ACCCGCCAGCGCCCGTCGGTCGTTCCGTCCCCCCGCGGCACTGCGCTCCTTCACGCATCTCGCTATTCAGCCTGCGCCTCGCAGACAAGGTTACCCCAGAGCGGCTCTGTAATCCTTCACTGAAATAGGCTTTATTGATTGCTCTGGTCTATTGTTCCCTTTTCAAGTCCCCCAAGTTCAAGTTCATCCTGGTGTTACATCATGTCTCGTTGCCAGGGACAACCAGACAGCCCCAGACGTGACTATCATTAGCAAGAGCCGCGCTGCACCCTCCCACCACCCGCCAGCCGCTCTGACGTAGCAGCCCCGCTGCAAACACATTGAAGTATTTATTCTGCCTAATTTATGACCTCCACAGCAAGAGAGACCCCCACTCCAAAAACCAACACTGTTGTATATTTAATTAATCTGTCTTTCTCTGGCACTTGGGAAAGTTAGACAAAGGTCTAATTATTGTGTGTCGCTCCCCACACTTTTCTTTTTGGGGTGACTATTTGCATGGGAAAAGAAACGGCGAGGCTGGGCGCGAGTCCCCTCCCTCCAAAACACCTTTTTTTTCTCCCCTGCCCTATTGACATTTCATGAAATACTTTAGCTGCTTAAGGGAATTAGAAAAAAAAAAATCTGATGTGAATGTAACTCCTTCTGAGTTGGTATTCAGTAACACAAATCAACTCATGACATGTTTAAATTTAAATGCTAACCACACACTCTGCGAGTTACTTTAAAGGTTAGTTTTTAATCAATAGAAGTTGCTGACTCCAGAGTTTTTAGAGGCGCAGTGCAGCTCTGGGGCCTTTGTCTAGCTTTGGGCTTTCAAACTTTTTTTTTTCTTGAGATGATTTTAGCAATGATTTGCAGACACAGAGTGCTATTGTGCTCCTGACTAGCAACATGTCAATAAAGGAGTAGAGTTACCATGCACTAGGGTGTCAATATGACTCCTGCAGACACTGCTCAGCCTTAATACCGATGAAAAACTTAATTAACCCTTACAGGAGCGACCCAAACCACACGGCTGTTTTTTTAAACTTCCGTGCCGGGGCTCTGGATCGCCTTTGCTGAAAAGCCGCGTTTTACGGGATGTGAACTCCGAGCACCTCACGAAGAGCCTGTTCCGTCAGCCCCTCTTTGACGAGATGTTTTATGGGCTGAGGCAGAAGAATAGTGCAACTGAAAGCACATTTACCCATCGGATCCCACCAGCACCGCTCTGGGGACACTGTTTTAATTTAGAGCGTCTTACGGCTCAAACGCGCACACAGGGTGATCCTCCTTTTTCTACTAATCATTTTAATATTAAGATCTCATATGCCCCCTCAAGCCTCCTAGACACGTCTAAGTCTTCCCGGATTAGGGCTGAAGAGCACCATTGTCCCGCTGAAGCACCTGTGAAACTTCTCTGTGAGGGGAGGAGAGACCTCCGCGCCTCACAGGAAAACCTCTAGGAAGCACGTTGGGCGTCCAGACCCCTGAGAGTTGGGAACGGTCGCCTTTTTTTTGTGCGATTAGGGGGCTTAGAGGGGAAAAAAAGAAGCCTGCACCCCTACGTTTCAGATGGCTGAAGTATTTTTTGCCTTGCATGCTCTCACGCCTAACCCCCTTGCCCGCTTTATCCCTCCACGTTCTGTAACCCATCCGACTGCGCCCGGACCGAGAACGGCATGTTGCCTTTCTTAATTTAAAATCTCCATTGAAAGCCCGTGGGCTATCACAACACGGTCAGGATGATATCATCTCCGAGCCAGTATTTTATTTCCCTTCCATTTACTTTGCGGTACTGTTCTCCCCGTGAGTTGAGGCTAAATGAATCCCCCCGAACTGAGGGTCCTGCTCTGTAAAATCAGTGCCATGCCGTCGGTGGTGCTGCTACGGGTCTGCATTGTCCTGCCAAGCACCTCACTGTCCTTCCCCAGGCGCTCAAGGTGAAACATCAGAAAGAATTCTGCAGTCCGGTACGAGATCTTCGCTTCCCTTTCTCCAGTCAAATGAAGAAGTAATCTCATCAGGTTGAAAAGTGCTGACTAAGGATTTAATAAAGTGCCTGCAGATGTGTGTCATCTCTAAGGTATTCAACTCATGTAATGCAAAACAGTTCCACACCGAATGTGCTTATAAAATTCCATTTAACCATTGCGGAGCTCTATTTTACTGTTCTCGGAGGAGTATTATCACACTTTTTTTTTTTCTCTCTCCCTAATTTACAGCACCATGAAAGTTGAAACTCTGCGCTGCCAGTATCTGAGAATCCTCGCAGTAGTAAGGTTTTATGAACCATAAACAATATCTACTTGACTGAATCCTAAACAGGAAGTCTGAAATGGCAATTACGTTTCTTTGATAGCGCAAATCGATTTGTTTCTTACGCTTTTTCCGGAGATAGCAGAGACACACAGAAATCCTCAAGCCACTCCTGACAATCAGGTTCTTTGTAAGGGAAGAACGGCAAGGAAACACTCCGCGATTCGGGATATTTAAAAGGAGAAAAGCTCAAAGCGCCTCACTGACTCTGGTAGCAGTTTCTGCCTGCGTCAGGAGCCCAGAAACAGGTCCATTGTTTATTAAAATCTTAAACCGGCCTTCCTGCCCGACGTGCTTCACCCTCGGCTCCCAGGCCTCACCATGACCACTGCTCACGTTGGGTTTTAAACCAGAGACAATCAAACGCAAACTTGTTAAATTCACTTCTACCTGCACATCTCCCGCTCTAACAATGAGACCTTTCAGCTCGCCCCGAAAAAAAAAAAGAAGTGAGGATTGTAAAGCAGCCCTATCTGTTTTTCGAATTAAGAAGTTAAACAAAAGTCCTCAAGGGCAAAGTTTAACGCTGCGGAAGGAGGTTGTTAATGTGGAATCCAGAACTGGGTGTGACAGTTGGCTCATTTCTCCGGGCGATGCAGGTTATTTAAGGACATTCACACATTTGAAACTCTGACAAACTCCGCGCACGGGAGCTTTCGCTTCACCTAATCCACTTCGGGCTAAGATCTGCTCTGTGCTACCCATTTTCTTTTGGTTTCAGCCTGGTTCGGCTG